TTCTGGAATCCTGGGAAGCAAGTCTAGTTTAAAAAGAGAGGAAAATAGAAGCATTGAGATTTCGATGGAAATGTCATATGGGTATTTTTAACTCTAAGATAGTGGTCTTGATTCTATTTAAAATACTGTATGTATGGAGCTGGGGTTGTGGCTCAGTAGTAGAGCATTTGCCTCATACATATGAGGTACTGGGTTCAATCCTTACCACCACATAAAAATAATAAAGATATTGTGTCCACCTAAAACTAAAAAAATAAATAAATATTTTTAAAACTACTGTGTGCAATTTCTTTGTGAAGAAAAAGCAATTTTGGGGGCCGGACGCTGGGAGGGGGGGCGCGAGGTTGTCTTCGCGGACACGCCGGCTGAACTGCTCCTACCGCTGCCGGCCATCCTAGGGCCTGGCGGGTGAATCTGCGCGGGCCCCACTGCCGACCTCCCGGCTGCAGGTGCGGGCGCAGAACGGACGCGCAGGATGGGTACCGGCGACGCACCTCCAGGCTTGGAGGCACCGGGTGGGGGTGGGGGTGCTAAGGACCGGGAGACTCTCCGTGTATCGCGCACTCCGGGGCGGCCGGGTCCCGGTGGCACCTGGCAGCGGTGCCGCGATGGCGAGGGGGAGATCACATTGAGGTCCCCTAGGCTGGACTGCCTGGGATGTGTGAGTCAGACAAGGGCACCCGGAATGTCGATGGCCGAGCGGAAAGGTTGAGAAAGGCTTCCTGGAGCCTGGGAACACGGAGCGCAGGGTCAGAGAAAAAGCATCGTGGATGAGCAAATCAGATGCCCTGCCCCAGGACAGCTCTGATGGGGCTCCGGTGTCTGGACTTTGCTTTCCAGGAACTGTGTACCCCATCACTCATCAGACCATTTAACAGCTGAAGATCGATGTCCCAAATGTTCTAGCTGAAGCTGGTGCACGGCAGAGGGGGTACCGATCTAAGCCTGGCTTACCGCGAGCATGGCTCTTTGGTTATTTTTGGTCGGTACTGACCAAGTTAGGTAGTTTGGTTCAGGCTGCCCCCTTTTGGTGTTTTAGGGCTATGGGACAAAATAGCCATCCAAGCGTTTTCACCATGTGATCCTGAGGGCCAATTAAGCGAGGAAGATATCCTCTGCTCTAGGTTGTGGGTTCACTTTTAAGAATCTTAGTATCCGTATGAAAAGATTGGCTTCTCTAGATAATTAAATGACGTGTGTGTCCTAGGGGAGCCTGAGTATGACTTGTGAGGGGCTGAGTGCTCTCCTGTGGGAAGGAGGAGGGGCAGGAGTGCTTTGACCCTACCCTTTCTTCTGGAGCAGCTTGGATTTGGACTTATGGCTTTAGTGCCCTTCCCAGGAGATCTGCCATTGGGATAGATGCCCTGCTGGGGGTGGGTGGTGATACTAGGGTGGAGAGGGGACTGGTAGTGGAGAGGCCACCCTGCCTCTATTTGGGTTCAGCTCCTAACTTGCTCTGCAACCTTGGGGATGGCTCGGGTCAGCACTGAGATCAGATTGGATTTCTTATCCACAGTATGTACATGAAATTCTGTAATCCTTACCTCTTAAAACACAAGCCCTAAAAACTGAGAGGAACTTGTCTCTTCCTTGTTGAATAAGGGGAAGAATGTCTAGAATCATAAATTTCCGTAGTTGGAATTAAAGCCACATATTCCCTTTCTTCTTGGAGGCTTAGGTGGTTTTCCATCAGTTGTGGGGAGCACAAGAGATATTGTAGTGGTCTCTTTCTGTGACTGCTTTGCAGGTGTGACTAGGGCACTGAACACTGGAGTGGGGAGACCCTGGGTACTGTCTCTTCTTTCAGAAAGATAGGACCAGAGCCTTCTTCCTGCTTAATCTAACTTTTTTTTTTTTTTTGGAGGGGGACCTGGGATTGAACTCAGGGGTGCTCGACCACTGAGCCATATCCCCAGCCCTGTTTTGTATTTTATTTAGAGACAGGGTCTTACTGAGTTGCTTAGCACCTCGCTGTTGCTGAGGCTGACTTTGAACTTGAAATCCTCCTGCCTCAGCCTCCTGGGCTACTGGGATTACAAGCACTGGCACTGCTTAATCTAACTTTTATTGCTTACCTGGCCTTTGGGACCCTGGGGGTGGGGGCAATGCAGGAGAGGGAGATGAGAGCCAGCTATCAACTGAGAAACCAACAAACCTGAGGGAGTAGTGGCTGGGTATATTGGCCTTGTCATTTAGGCAAGAAGAGGAGCAGGAATTTTGGACTCCTTGAGGATATGAGAGCTCTGTGACTCTCAGAGCAAAAATGTAAACCCAGCATTGCTTCAGGAAGAAGAGCTAGGTTCAATGTACAGGGGCTGGTCTGAGTCCTGTGACAGCCACTATAGTGGGTCAGGAAGAAGGCCTGTCCCCTGCCTTCCAATGTAGACTCTTGGTGGGAAGAGAGAGCACCAGATTAAGAGTAAGGTGGCAAAACCAGAGCACTCTATCAGTAGAGATGTGCTGGGCGACGGGTGGAGGGTGGAGTCAGCCAGGTGGGTCTGTGTCTAAATCCTGGCCCCATCACTGTCCAGCAGGGGACATTTCTTAACCTTTGTGGGTCTGTTCTTATTGCCTTGTGGCACTTTGAGATTGTGCCTAGAGCAAGTAGAGGCCACTTTGCTATCTTTATCATTTTTGTAGGATGGAGTGGGCTATTTAGGGTCACAGAAGCTGATAGGCAGATTGAGTTTAGGGCTGGTCTGAGCTCAGACATAGGACGGATTCACCTCTTTAGTACCTGGGCACGACTTCCCTGCCATTCTGGGTGGTCCACTTTTCCATGGCCTGATAGGGATTAGCCCACACTGGGCACTCTTAGAGAAAAGATATGTTTTCTATCATTAATTCTGGAAACTGCTTTGATTTCTTCAGAGAAGAAATACTCCTCCACTGGCCCAATGATGGCCAGGAAGGACTCACAATACCTGTGTGCGGGTGTGTGTTTATGCACATGTGTGTACACGTGTCATGGGGCTGTTCCTGTTTTCAAACCCTTTCTACCTTCTTCCTCTTTCCTTACCTTCTCACACTCCATAATTGGGCCATGTCGAATATCAGCAGGCTTGGGATCCACTTTGTGCTGCCGTGCGTTGATTGTAGATGTTGGGAATTGGGACCTCCCTCTCCCCACTCTGCCAGAGTAATTCCTCCTATTCCCACTTGACACCTGAACACCTGGTGCCTTTCCAGAACCACAGACTAGCATGTTACCTGGAGGGGCTTTGTTTTAAAATGAAAGACATTAGATCCAGAGATGCTAATTGGTGCCTTGAGTCACCAGTTACTCTGAGGAAGACCAAAGAAATGTTTTACTTTCATTCATAAACTTGATGAAACTGCCAGTAGTCCCAGTCTTTTCCTTGGAAAATTGAGGGAGAGAGGTCAGTTGTCCCTGCATATATTGGGGGTGAAAGATGGTCTTTGTTTCTGCTGCAGGTGTTTCTTCTGGGAGGGTCTCCTACTTCTTTTTCTTTGCAGACTCCCTGGTAATAGAGGCATATGTGAGAAAGGGTTGCATTGTGTGTGTGCAGGACACAGACACACTAGATGTCTGCAGTAGGCCCTCTTGGCGGGTTGTCAGACTGCCAGGTGATAAGGGGGTCAGAGTCTACTAACATGGGACTGCTGCCAGCCAGGGCCTTATGCCTGCCCTACCATAAGGGCTCTGAACCCCTGCTGCCATGGAGCCTCCCAGAGGGGGCTCTTAGTTGGGCCCAACTGAGATCTGGAGGCAGAGCTGCCTGCCGGGCCCTCCAACCTGCACTAGGCCAGGAGCCTGCCTAGAGGCCAGACAGCTACAGAATCCTGCCAAGGGAGCCTGGCGGGCCCAGCCTGGGAAACCTAAGTCCCTGCCTTGGCAACAGAGGTCTGACTGTTCTCAGGCCTCCTAACCTTCTTACAGTATCAAGTCCCAGAGAGTCCTGGAGTTTGATGGAATGAGAAGGTGACAGTCCTAAATTTATAGCACTCAGTATTTGTTCTTAGTAAAAAAATTCTGTTAAAAGTTAGGAATTTATGACCAGCATGGTGGTACATGCCTGTAATCCCAGCTGCTTGGGGAGAATCTCAAGTTCAAAGCCAGCCTCAGCAATTTAGCAGGGGTCCA